AAAACGGTTATATTTCATCCGTTATTTAACGGTGGGGGTAAAGTCTTAAATTATTAAACAGGAATAAAAGTTATTCCTCTAGGAAAACCAAAATCACATCAATCAGAATCAAGCTTTTACACACGATCTATACACTTTAGTTCACTATTAGCACCGTTCCTGACGATTTAGGGCTCCACGAATAATTTTCTGTTAATTAAAGTTTGTGCATGCCAAGACTTAATATGAATTTAAGGAGAAGTAAACATATGCCAAGACATAATACGAATTCAGTGTAATGTAAGAAGTATGCCAAGAAATAATATGAATTTAGTGACATAAGAAGTATGCCAAGACATAATAAGAATTTAGTGTAACATAAGACTTTCTAAGTATTTAATCAAAGGTGTAAAACTATCAGTTATAATTACAATGTGAAAATTGGAAATTAAAAATTATATAATAATAATAATAATGTAAGCACTTCAAGCTACATACTAATTTAGAAATTTTGATCGTGTAAAATACTTGTTACGTACGTAGAATGACAATGCAAATAAATTAAAAGTTAACAATTATACGATAATAAATTAAGCACACAAACATAATGTGCATGTAATGTAGCGCTGATATACTAAATTAGGAAATTTGATCCCAAGGTACGTAACTATCAATGAGAATTACAAAGCGAAGGAATTAGAAAATTAAAAATTTTGCAATTAAAATTAAATTATTGGATCGATTAAATTTGATTGAAAGAAAAAAATAGATGCACATATGTGTTCGTTGACAAAATATGAAAACCTTTTCCGTGTATAACCTAATAATATTGAATTTTTTAAAAACTGTTTATCTGATTTGAGTATCAGTAAGTGAAATGTACATCCTAAACATAAAATCCATATCTAGAATATAAATTTTCTCTTGCCGACACTCATTAGTTTCAACTGTATAAAAAGGCAATGAATTCCACTTGCTCAAAGTGATTCTCCAAATTATTCCTACACATACATATAAACATGAAGTTAATTATCTTCATCACTCTTTTAAGCATCTTTTCCGTTGGGTTCGCAGGTGCTATTGTGACTGGAACCTATTTTGACCGCATCTTTGTAATTTGGTTCGAAAACCAAGATTATTCTAAGACGATAAAAAATCAATATTTAACAAGCTTATATAATAGTGCTGAAGGTGTTCTTCTTACTAACTACAACGCAGTTTCTCATCCGTCTGAGGTATATTACTTTTTTCAACTTTATGAATTTCATATTTAAAATATAAATAATAATTAATTGTTCTTTCTATTAGCCTAATTATGTTGCCTCAATTTTTGGTTCAACGGGTGGTATCACGGACGATGGAGATTATAATCTCACAGGGTGTAATATAGTTGACCTTCTTGAGAGCAAATCGATCTCTTGGAAGGGTTACTTCGAGAACTATAGTAAGTTTATTAATATTATTATGTTTATGTTTTTGCTTTTGCTTTTAATTCTTATGACATTTATATTATTCTGTAGCCTGCGGCGTTTGTTACACTGGTGATTTTTGCCCCAGTGGCACTGATCTTTATGCAAGAAAGCATAATCCTTTTATTACTATGGCAGATATAAACTCAAACTCTACACGTTGTGGTAAAATAGTAGATTCATCCCAACTTGATCTTGACATAAATAGTAATTCAGTACCACAATTCGCTTATTACGTGCCAAATCAAAATGATGACGGGCATGACACTTCCTTAAGTACTGCAATGACTTGGTTCCAAGGCTGGTTTGATGCGAGACGTAATAATCCAAACTTTAACACGAACACATTATTTGTCATTGTTTGGGATGAAGCTGTAAGTGGAGGATCAAATCAAGTCGCCTGCGTTCTTTACGGTACTCCAGTCCATCCACCATCTAATCATCAAGATAATACCGCTTATAATCATTATTCAATCATGGCTACTACTGAGAAAAATTGGAATTTAGGAAATTGTAATAAAGGTGATGTCACCGCGAATGCGTTTACTAGGTACCTAGTACATCCTTAATGTCACGACTGTTGCATTATTGATACGTGATGCGTGTCAAGATTTAAATTCACTTTATTTTTATTTCTATAAATTACATTCTTTTATATTATTATTATTATTATTATTATTATATCGAATTAGTTGATCATTAATTCGTTTATAAGATGTAAAACGCTCCAAGATTTCATCTTCTTTTATTCTACATCTTTTTCTTGATTTAAGATAGCATGTCGTTATCTTATTATTTTTTCTTAGAATATAGTATTTTTAATGCTAGAAGTGTTAAATGGTTTTATTCAATTAGTATAGAATAACATTTTAATACAGTGAAATTTATGTAATATGTTGCATAAATATGTATCGAATGATTAAGTTTATTCGTACTAATTATGCAAAAAAACATAAAAAGACATATGGCCTTCTTACCTTCAAATAAAGAAGTTTGATATTGTTCAATTCTTTAATACGTAAAGTATATATATTTTCTTATTACTGCAACCAGAAAATTCATTCGAATCTGGTTGAAAATTTAATGTCGCGGATGATGCTGAAAATCACGTGATCATATGAGCATAAACACCTAGCATTATAGTTAGAGTTAGGGTTAGGGTATGGAAGGTTTTTTTTGATTTTACATATATTACATCTAACTCTACTAGGGTAATTAAAGTATGGTCATACCCAAACCCTAACCCTAACATTAACAGTGAAATATTTTAGTTGGTGATGCTAAGGTTCTATAAGCACTTTAGGTATGTTTATGGGAAATTATACCGACATAGCATGCATGTGACTTATCACAATTTTCGGCACAGCAGATGATCGACATAAGTACTTAAAATTTTGAACGAAGTATCTCGCCAATCATTACTGCAAAGTCGATAAATTTTTATTTTATTTTATTTTATTTTATATGCTTGTAGAATTAAAATAAAAAAATGTTTATCGATATTACTTAGGTGGTTGTATCTTCGTTCCAAGTTTGGTAAAATATGTTTATTAGATATAGAAGCAAGGAAATTTTTTAGAAATTTGAACGAAAATATCTCAAGAAAATTTTTTATTTTAATTCTGACTTGAAAAATTTAAATAAAAAAAATTTTTAAATTTTTTATTTCTACTTGAACGTAGATATCTCGACAACCATCAAAGTAAATTTGACTAACTTTTTTTTATTTTAATTTTATGGCCATGTAAAATCAAAATAAAAAAATTTATTAATTTGCTTTAATGGTTGGCGAGATATCTTCGTTTAAAATTTTAAGTACTTATGTTGATCATTTGTTGTGTTGATAACGGAGATAAGTCACGTGCATGCTGTGTCGGTATAATTTAAAGCCCCTAGCTGTCCCACAAAATTTTTTTCACCCCTTGTAATAACGACCAATCGAATTTCTGGATTAGGTGTAACGTGAAAATCGAGATGAAGCAAAAAAACAAGAATAGCTCTAAATTTTAATTAGGAAACCACCTTCTGTGGTCTAATAAAAAATGTTCCTTGTAAAATTTCACTTGTAGGTGTCATATTATTCTAGTCCTCTTAACTTTTTTACTTAGAAAGCAAAAACACGTTTGTTTGACTATCATGTTACATCCAGAAATTCGATTGGTTATTATTACAAGGGGTGGAAAAAATTTTGTGAGACAGCTACGTACCTAAAATGGGGACGTCTAAAGCGGGGCAAATTCACGTGACTTATATTTAATAATTTTCTAAATTAACTTTATAAGGTTAGGTAGGTTTTAGGTTGTTATATAAGCAAATTCCCTTCCCGACGTTTTTACTTAACCTACCTGAGCTAGGTTTAGACTGCCGTTTTTTCTATTTTTTGGGTTTTCGTTTTTGTTTCTTGCTTTGTTTGATCGTCAAAATTCTATAATTTGATTGGCTGAGATCACGTGAAATTGCCCGCTTTAAACTACCCCAACAAAATTCTGCAAAATGTGACCACGAGCCAATCACAGTTGAAGATCAGGTGTAACGTAACAAAATCCGAAAAATTAAAAACAACCGTTCTTTTTGCTAATAATCGCCCATAACTCAAATCCACATAGGAAACCCTATTTAGTGTTCTAACAAAAAGTTTTCCTCGAGCGATTTTACTATATATTACATCAATAACAAACATTAATATAATCGCTAACCCCAGTATTAACAACTTTTTAAGAGTTTTATTATCGTAGAATTTTCGGGGTGTTGTTGGGGTAGTTCCCGCTTTAGACGACCCCCTAAAATGTATAATTTCCCTTGTTTATACAGAAGATCATCATGCGAACACATGGTTTTCAGCATTATCATCATCCGCGACATTTAATATTCAAAATATGAAAATTATTGGTGTTTCATTTGCATTCAAAAAATGATATTCCTATGAAGACAAGAACTTGACAAAATAACTTGTTTATTCGCAATTGTTAACGCCTTAAAGAAATTGTTTTGTGTTTGTTTTGTAATCTTAATTTATTTGTGTTGATGTGCATTTATTCGTTATTTTGTGATTTTGTGTTGCCTCGTGAGACGCCATATTGCCTATTTTATCAAAAAGGAAGTCGTCCGTCAAAAAATTTTAATATTATTGTTATCTTTTAATATAACAATTTAGATCTGTCAAGTCCTCCAAATGTTTTTATCAAACTCAAGTTGTATTTATGGTAAAAAAATGTGGGCTTAGTATTAAGACTAATATAGGTCTGCTAAATAATTGTTGCTACTTACAGCTTAAAATATATATTATCGTAAACTTGTAAATATATCGAGGTCTGTTTGTATCATCCCACCATGTTCTTGTAATTATATCAAAGTAAGATAAAATATATTTTGAGAATGTTTATAAAATATTTTTAAACTTAACAAAAACAATATACCAGAAACGGAGTTTTACCGAAGTAAAACTAAGAATATAGTTTACAGCTATGTTCAATGGTATACATTCACAAAATCTTGTATTTGGTTGGTCGGCATGATCATAGATCTTTTCTCTTTTCTGCTTTTACATATATTTTCAGATTTCCTTTGTGAATTGCTCATTTATGTTCCAAAGTTTTATTTCAATAGTGAAATAAATAGTTGATATTAATTTTCATTTATAAAATAAACATGATTATGACAGCATAGCGGGCTTTATTATGATTGGTTGATTTTGAAGATCATCTCATCAAATTAAAGTCTTATTAAAGTAACGATTTGCTGTTACAAGAATGAATCAGGTGATACGATTATGAATCGGGTGCATTACTTTATATACCGTCAAAGTAATTTGGTAAACCGCGAGGTAATTCAGAAGTTAGTCGATTTAACCAATATAACTTACAGTATATTAAACTTGGTAAAATGACAGTAAATTTAAAAGGTTTACATCATTAATCTATTTTATTTATAACTTATTTATTATTCTAAAGACAGACATGTACTGCCAGTAAAATAGCTTAGTGGCTTAAAGCAATGAATATATAAGTTTGCGAACTTGTAAGAGATTAAAACAGAGTATTATATCTAAGAATATTAAAGCGTAGTGTTACGTCTAAGAATATTAAAGTGTAGTGTTACATTTAAGATTATTAATTTAGAATGAAGGTTAAATTCGTTTTGTATTAATTAACTGTTATTATATACAATTAAAATTTGTTATAATTTTGTATTGTCTCTTATAATTAATATTTCATTTTTTTTGTGCTTATTTATTATTATTTTTATTTTAATTTGTGTAATAGTATTTTTTTAATAAGATCTTGGATTATATGATTCTATTGTATTGGGATTATGATCTAAGACTCTGAGTTGTTTTTTTTTTTTTTGGCATTAAGGTGAGGCCTTGCTCATATCTTTATTAGTAACTTTAAAAATAGTAACTACATTAAAGAGATACTACTATTTG